AATTTTAATTTTATTCTACTTTTTTACTTCAATTTTATTTTCAATTAAATTTTCAATTAATTAATTTCAATTTTGTTTTAATTATAAAATAAATATTTTATAATTAAAATTATACTTTAAATACATTTTTATTACAATAAAATTGAAATTTAAATATAAATTTCAATTTTAAGTGGAAAAAATTCTCATTCATTTAGACACTTTCAGTAGAAAATTGATATTTAGTCAGACAAGTAGAAAAAATTGAGTATAGCTTTTACTTTTATAATTTTTTCTACTTTTTATTGTATTTTTATTATTTCACTGTATATTTCTATTTTTTGCTCTTTCTTTTGTTAAATTTAAAATTGTCGACCTTATTTTAGTAAAAAACGAGTACTATCTTTGTAAAATTAAAGAAAAAAAAATTTTCCAAATTTTGATTTTGAGAAAAAATTTTGATTTCATTGTTTTTTATTATTAATTTCTCAAAAATAATCCGTAGAAATATTTTCAGAAAAAGCTTAGAATATTTTATAAATGAACCTATTATAATAATTGAGTGAAAATTAAATTAAAAATAGTGAAAATTTTCCTTTTATATTTAAATTTTATTTACAACTAAACAGTTTTAATGTTATTTTTATCTTTTAATTTCAATTTTATTGTAGTAAAATTTATAAAAATGCATAATTTATAAACTTATAGTGTAATTTTAATTCCAAGACAAAAAAGTTTTCACTTTAGACACTTTCAGTAGAAAAAGAATTTTTAGTCAGACAAATTCTACACGAAAAAAATTGAGAATATCTTTTACTTCTTATTATTTCTTTCTACTTTTTATTTTATTTTACTCTTCATTTTTACTATTTTTTATTTGTCGTTCTTTAAATTTGAAATCTTCGACCTCGTTTTAATTGAAAACAATTACCATGTCTGTGGAGTTTATTTTTCGAAAAAAATTCCAAATTTTGATTTTGAGAACAAAAGTTTTGATTTTATTGTTTTTTTTTATTAAGTTTTCAAGAATTATCCATAGAAAAAATTCAGAGAAAGCTGAAAATTTGGAAAATAATTGAACTTTAGAAAAATTGAGAATTGAAGTTATTACTAAAGATAAGAAGAAATTAGAAAAATGAATTGGAAATCAGGAAAAAGTCAGGGAAATATAGAATCAAATTCTTGTTAATCGTCTCATTTATAGAAGTACTAAATTTAAGTAAATTTTGACTAATTCAAAAACTAAAGGTCAGTCTGATAATTTAGTTAAAATTTTTACCAATTCAGATTCAGTGGATAAACTTGACTTAAATGAAATAATTTCCCACCTAATTGTCTAATAGTTTATTGCATAATATGATCTGCGATAAATTTACGAATTAAGATCTTGAAAAAAAAACAACTAATATCTGAATTAATACCAAAAAAAGAAACTTAATCTCCAATGTTAAGGACTTTTATATGTCATTTCAATAATTTGAATAATGGTAATTAAATTCTTGATTAGCGGAATATTAATGTATTGACCGGTCAGTCAACTAAAGGTCTAAAACCTGAATTACTGTCAGATTATTTAAATTGCTAATCGATAAGCAACTTAATTAATTCAACTCTTTTTATTATGCACAATTTAAATTTGTATCAATGTCAATAAAATTCAAATGTTAATTTATCAAAACTATAATTTTTTCTTTGTTTTCCCTTTCGTATAAGGTAAAAAGAGACTATAAAAAAAATTTTCTTTAAGCTTTCTAGTTTATATGGTGTATGATTAAATTAATTTTTTAACTAAAGTATTTAATTTGACATTATTATAAAGTTGTCGAAATTTTATCTTGATAAAAAAATGACTTAATTATTGGTTATAAAAATACAAAGTGTTGAAGGAGAGGACACTTGGAGGTGTGCTCTTTATAAAGTATAATATAAAAACTAGGCGGAAATGGAACCGCAAATCCTTCCTGCGTGTTGGCCTAATTAGCGATAATTTAGCGCTGAAAATAAAATTACTCCAACATGACAGAGATTGTGACTCAGCGTGAAGTTTCTGACACTATAACTCTTCACCGTGAACGAGAAATAAAAAAAAAATTAGTTTGCTTTCACGTTGCAAAGTGTGACTTTGTATATAAGTGACTCAAGCTTTACGGGAGTCACAAAGAGCATTATTTTCAAATCTTTATTAAATTTGCGTTTTTTAATATAATACTGTCGATCAAGTTTGATTTTTAGTGTTTTCTAAATCTGAATTAATCAGGATTTTTTACTATAATTTATTAGCAGTGTCGATTGGACTCATAAACTATGAAATTACCACGAATTTAAAAAAAAACCCTTCAATTTTTTCTATTTTGTAACAATAATTTTTTTTAATAATTTAATTCTATTGAAGAACTGCCATAAAGTTTTAACTTATAAATCATTTAATGAAGTATTTTTTTAAAAAATTTTAATTTCAATTCTAGTGAACTTAGTTTCAATTTTAAAAATTGAATTCATTCCAGAAAAATTTAATTATTTTCAAAAATTTATTAAAAATTCTCGTCAACATTTCAATTATCTTTATAAACAGCAAAATTCTTCGCCGAAATTCAATTCTATTCAGGAATTTTAAATAAAATTCATTGCAAAATTCAATTATTTTCATAAATAACAAGAATTCAATTATTGTCAAAAGTAATATAATTCAATTATTTTCAAAAATTTTAATATTATTCATGGCAAAATTTCAATTATTTTCCTAAATTTTTCTTAATTGAATGATTTTCAATATTCTACTATTTTAATAAAATGAACTGAAAAATTCAATTATTTTCAAAAATAAGAAAATTCTTCTCTAAAAATCAATTATTTTCAAAAAATCTAAAAAAATGTTCACATTTCAATTATCTTTATAAATGAATAACAAAATTCTTCGACGAAATTCAATTATTTTCAGTAATTTTAATAAAATTCATTGCAAATATTAAATTATTTTCATAAATAGTAGTATTCATCACAAGAATTCAATTACTTTCAAAGGTAATAAAATTCATGGAAAAATTTCAATTATTTTCAAAAAAATTTCTTAATTCAAACATTTTCAATATTCTACTATTTTAATAAAATTTCTCTAAAAAATTCAATTATTAAACAAATTTTTTTTTTAAATTCTACACGAACATTCAATTATTTTCCAAAAAAATAAAAATTTCACAGAAATTCAATTATTTAAAATGGAATTTGCATAAATCAAATGTTTTAAAATTTGTCAATAAATTCTTCGCAGTAATTCAATTATTTTCATAAATTTTAAAATTCCTTACAGACATTTAATTTGCATATCTATTATTTTAATAAAATTTTCCAAAAGAATTCAATTATTTAAAAACAATTTTCACAAAATTCTACAAGAATATTCAATGTTTTTCTAAAATAATGAAAATTTCACAGGAATTCAATTATTAAAAATGAATTTCATAAATTTTGTCGAAAAAAGTGAATTGTTTGAAACTTTTTTTAATAAATTTTTCTCAATAATTCAATTATTTTAATAAATAATAAAACTCATTGCAGAATTTTAATTATTTTTAATTTAATTTTAATTAAATTCTTCGATAAATGTAATTATTCTTGAAAATTTGATTAAAATTCGCCGAAGGAATTCAATTGTTTAAAGATTTGTTAATCAAATTCTTTATGAGAATACAATTTTAAGAAACATTGAATTATTTAATAAATTATCTATGTTTGTAATTAAATCATTGAATTCTCGTAGAATTTTCTAATAAAAATTGATTTATAAATTAATTTCAGTTGGAATTTTTCATAATAATTGAATTTTAGAATAAGTTAATAATAATTGAAATTTTTAGAAATAATTGAATTTTGTAAAGGGTTTCAAATTAAAATCGTTGAAAATCTTAATTTTTTATACTTTAAAATAAAAATTTTATGAATCTAATTTTTTTTTAAAAAGCTTAATCGAAATTTTTAAAAATAATATCAAGTTTTTATTTTCTAATGTAAATTTAATTGAAAAATTTCCAAATAATCGAATTTTCGTAAAATTGAATTGTAAACAAGTGGATTTGAAAATTCTTAAAGAACTTTTTCAAAAATTATTAATAATAATTAATTAACAGAAGAATTTTAGTTAAAAATTGTAGAAAATAATCATTGAATTGAAATAATAAAATTAATTTTAATAATGAAGTTATAGTAACAGTATTCTTATAATAGAAAATATAATTGGTTTATCACTCGATAATGTTTTATAATAATATTCTTATAAATTATTGAATTTCAAAAAGTTTGAATTTGAAATTTTGAAAATCTCAATTCCCATGGAAAAATAATATTAAATATTCATTTAAAAATAAAGTTATTAATGTTTCCGAAAAATTTTGAAATTTAATTAAATAAATGGAATAGAACATTTTTTGAGTATCTAATAATTTTTAGAGTGAATCAGGGAAATCAAAATTAAATGTTTGTTGCAACCCTGATTTAAAATGCTTTAGTATATTTGAATGTAAAAAAAACAATTTTACTAATAAATATTCATTTCTACTAATTTATTAGTAAACTTGACTAATTCGAATGTAAAAAGTCAGTCACTAATTCCAATTAGTTTACATTTTTACTAATTCAAATTTAGAGAGTAAGTTTAATTTTCAGTTGAAATAACATTGAGATTCTATGCACTGTAAAAAAAAGGGAGTTAAATTTTAACTCCCCAGGGGATTCTATAAAGGTCGCGCACTCATTTGGGAGTTAAAGCGAAGGGAGTTGGATAAAGGGAGTTAAAATTTATAATTTACACAGTAAAAATAAGAATCAATTCCAAAAGGGAGTTATGTAATTAAATAATTATCTCCATTTTGGAGTTGATTTTTAACTCGAAAAATTTTACTCCCAACTGCAGTGACTGTCAACTCCCTAAATTTTTTACAGTTTAATAAGAAGTAAAGTTTTGTTTATTTATTATTATTACATTTAATTAAAGTTTGTTAATTAGGTGTTGTTTGTGGTTTGTTTAGATAATACGGCACGTGGTAGCAGCGAGGCTGTCTCACAGACGAGTCCTGCGAGCAGTACGAGCAGCTCCAGCGTGAGTCAGGCGAGCCAACAAGTGTCCCAGGTGAGCCAAACTCACCAGCAATCGGCCCAGAGTCATCACCATCATCAGGACATTCAAATGGGCATCTCCACTGACGATGTGAGGCCCGAAGACGATGGTCTGCATCCAAGGGCGGCTCCAACGAGTCCCGAGAGTGAAGCCGAGGTCGATGACTTTGCACCCAAGAGAAAACAGCGCCGATATCGAACGACATTTACCAGCTTTCAGTTGGAGGAACTCGAGAAGGCCTTCTCCAGGACACATTATCCCGATGTTTTCACCAGGTGAGATTTTTTTCCCCACTTTTATATTTGGACAATCGCTACTTCGTTTTTAAATTTAGTAAAAAAAAAATATTGAATTGGACTCCAACCTTACACCAAAAAGATTGAATCGATGTTGTTTACAATCCGTAAAGTGTAAATGCTTGCATTTCATTGGTTTAAAGATTTTAGTCAATCCAATCAAATGACAGTATTCACACTTTCTGTGATTGAAACCGTATAATTTTCAATCTTTGGATGTAAAGTTGGAATCTGATTTTTAACAGTGTGTAACTAAAAATCAGTAATGAAATTCGTGACTAAAAAAATTGTTGGACTTTTGTTTTCTGTTTATATGAGAAAAAAGGGGGAAAAAAGAGAAAAAAAATCAAGATGAATTACACATTACACACCTACTCGATTGGCGGCGCGTAACTATAGGTAATTTGGTTCAGGTTAATAATGTAAACTCGAGGGCTTGCACATCGAACACGGAACGAAATTTACATACCGTGACTCTCGGGACTGAATAAGCAAATGTTTCTCAAACGCGTATTTATGCATATAGGAAACCGATGATCGATGAACTGTAATGTACTGTTAAATACTTTCGGAAAATACATAACGTATATAACCTTCTCGAACCCATCAGCAAGAGTTAGAGAAATAATGGTGTGCAGTGGTGTTATAGAAAATCCAAGAAAAGTGCCTCAGTGAGTAGACGCTTTGGAAACCATAGCAATCTAGGAAATTGCTTTGAAAATTTCTATCCTGTGCAGTATTGGTGTCTCTCTTTCTTTTTCTCTTTTTCTTCTCTCTCTCTCACTCTCTCTCTCTCTCTCTTTCTTTTTCTTCTTTTCATTTCTCTCTCACTCTCACTCTTTCTTTAACCTCTTTTTCTCTCTATTTCTCTCTCTCTGTAAATGTCCGTGCATAGGTTGAGGTAATCATGGTATAATATCAACCATTTTCCTTGCGTCACTATATTATTCCTTTTAAATAAAGTAGTTAAGGCCTTTCATGGCAAGACCTATTCTCACTAATATATGAGCTTCGAAACTGCCAAGGACTCTTTCTAACTGCTTGATAGATGTATTCATTTTCTTCTATGCATTCTTTTGCAGTTTCTCAGTAATGCCACTTTCCACATCTCTTTCCATGAAATTCGATTTTAAACTTTACCAATCGCTTTTCGTCATTTTCTTTTAGAGAGAAAAAAAAACGCTAAATAATCAAATTGGTGATCATCGTTTTCCATTTCTTCGAATTTTTTTAATTTATAATTTATAATCATCAATGTTTACACAAGAGCAAACATTATCAATATGAAATTATTTCTTACAACCAGTAAATAAAACCTCTGTATTTCTCTATTATAATCATTATTATTTTTCCTTAGAAATTAAAAATTTTCAAAAATTCAAAAATTAAAACTTTTTGAAATTTTCATGAACTTTTCGAACAAATTACAACCTTTTTAAGTGAACGGGTAATAAAAGTAAATGTTTGTACATAAGGAGAAAACTATAGTCAAAACGAATAGAATGTTAATTTTTGGAAATTGAACTAAATTTGAAATTTATTATAGCTTTTAGAAAAACTGGTCTTGGGGGCAATAAAAAGCCAGGGACAAAAATCCATTGAATATTATGTGAAATTCATTTGTTTTCTACACTGTAAAAAATTTACGGAGTTGACGGTCACTGGAGTTGGGAGTGAAATTTTTCGAGTTAAAAATCAACTCCAAAAGGGAGTAAATTATTAAATTAACTCCCTTTTGGATTTTCTTCTTATTTTAACTCCCTTCATTCAACTCCCTTCGCTGTAACTCCCAAATGGGTGCGACTTTTATAGAATTCCCTGGCAAGTTGAAATTTAACTCCCTTTTTTTGCAGTGCACTTAAATTAACCTTCTAATTTTACAAAATTTTTGCGTGTTTACTTAATAAAATTAATTAAACTACATTTTTACTATTTTTTATTTTTCGTTCTTTCTTATGTTCGATTCGAAATCTTCGACCTTGTTATAGTAGAAAACGAGTACCATGTCTGTGGAATTTATTTTAAAAATAAAAATTCCAAATTTGGATTTTGAGAACAAAAATTTTGATTTCATTGTTTTTTTAATTTCTCAAGAATCGACAAGAGAAAAATTTTCAGGAATTGCTTAAAATATTTCATAAATGATCCTAAAAAATAATAATTTTCTAGAATTTTTAACAAAAATTCTTAATGATTATTTTATTTTTAATAATTTTTGAAAAAGTTGTTTGAAAATTTTCAAATCCACTTGTCTATAATTCAATTTTACAAAACTTCGATTATTTGGAATAATTGTTCATTTGTATATTAGAAAATAGAAACTTGAAATAATTTCAAAAAGCATTCAATTAAACCTTTTTCAAAAAAATTAAGTTTACGGAATTTTTAATTGAAACTATGAAAAATTAAAAATTTTAGAGATATTAATTTGAAACCTTTTCATAATTCAATTATTTCTAAAAATCCACGCAATAAAATGCTTTTAATATTTAATTTCAATTTAATTTCAATTTAATATTCTTGAAATATTGAATTCTCATGAAGAATTTTATCAACAAATTTTTAAATAATTCACTACTTTCGTCAAATTTTAATAAAAATTTTAAAAATAATTTATTTTTTGGAGGAATTCGATTAAAATTGTATTAAAAATAATTTTAATTCTGCAATGAGTTTTATTATTTATGAAAGTAATTGAATTATTACGAAGAATTTTATAAAATGTTTCAAACAATTAAATTTTTTCGACAAAATGTATGCAAATTCTATTTTTAATAATTGAATTCCTGTAAAAATTTTCATTATTTTAGAAAATAATTGAATATTCTTGTAGAATTTTGTCAAAATTGTTTTTTAAATAATTGAATTCTTTTGGGAAATTTTATTAAAATGGTAGAATATTGAAAATCATTGAATTTAGAAGAAATTTTGAAAGTAATTGAAATTATGCCATAAATTTTATTAAAATTTTCGAAAATAATTGAATTTAATTACTTTTGAAAATAATTGAATTCTTGTGATGAATTTTATTAATTTTGAAAATAATTGAATTCTTATTTTTAGAGAAATTCGATTAAAATTGTATTAAAAATAATTTAAATTCTGTGATGAATTTTATTATTCATGAAAATAATTGAATTCCTAAAAAAAATGTTATTTTTGAAGAAAATAATTGAATTATTGCAAAGAAATATTAAAAAAATTTGTAAATAATTGAATTTCTGTCAAATTTTTATTACTTTTGCAAATAGTTATATGTTTGTATAGAATTTTATTAACAGTTTTTGAAAATAATTGAAATTTTGCCGAGAATTTTAATAAAACTTTTAAAAATAATTGAATTTTGGAGAAGAATTTGATTTTTTATGATAGTTGCTCAAGAATTAAGTTATTTAAAAAGAAAGTATTGTCAAAAATAGAAAAAGTTGAAGATTTTGTATTAGAATTCTTGGTACCTAAGAAGCAAAAATTTTAGGTTATGTTTATAATTTTTGGAATGAAAATATTTCAAAGTAGATCAACTGTCAATGTTAACCACTGGTACTTAAGTCTTTTTTTGCATCTAAAATAATTAATAATATCTGATTTTAGTTTTAAAGAATTAAACAAAAACTTTCAATTACAGTAAAATTAAGGCAAACATAACTTTAAAATGATTAACTTCTTAGGTACCTTTCTTCGCAGCGCGGCACAATTATCTATTTCCCCTAAAGAAAAACTGTGAACTATTTTTTTCCATCTGAGAAAATTTCTCTTTAGCTTTTCGTATATATTTCAAATACAATTAAATATTTAATAATATTTAAATTGAAAGTGAAAAAAAAAATGTTGATTAAAATTTCATAAAAAATATTCATTGGAATGAGAATTTATGATGGCTCTCTTTTTATGTACAATCATATACGATTCCTAAAATAATGATTCGTAATAAAATTCTCCTCACAAAACTGATAATACGGACGTGATTTATAACTCAATACGAAATAAGATTCGAACTTTTCTTAAATAATAAACTCCAAAATTTACAAGCTTCAGCACTTTGATAAAAACTCATAAATATCGGGAAAGGCCACAAAATTGAATTAATTTTTTTTTTTTTTTACATTCTCATTTTTTCTAAATGTTGACTTTAGAGAATATTTTTGTGTCTGCTTTGAAGGATGAACGAGAAGGCGTTTCAATACAGGAAATTGTCGTCTCTCTCGACTCGCTCGATCGCTTTCTCTTCCTCTCTCCCCCTTCTCCCACTTATAAAACGATATATTTTCCTTCTCCTCTCTCTGTCTCTCTTTCTATTTCTCTTGCTCGAACGTGCCTAGTGGTATTAATTTTGCACTAATTGGATTTTATGGTCGCTTAGGTTTATTGGCTTGTCGACTATGCGAACCTTGCTAGAACGTTGCATATTCATTAGAAACTGACTTGTAAGCAATGGGTGTGTGCGTGTGATCAACCGTGTCAGTGCCTCTAAAAAGGCTACACTGTATTTGGTAGCACATTTATCATTCATATTTTTCTCAAAGGTGTTACTATTATTTATTTATAGCAACGTTTTCTTATTTTTAACATTCCCTGGGGGGCATTAATCAAGTATTATGTGGGATAATTGTGTTTTTTTGGAATGGTTTTCGAAAATACGGAAATGTAGTTGAAAATACGAAACTTTTCGATACGAAAAAAATGGTGTAGAACTAGAAATTAGAATTAAAATTAGAGCTAGTTTACGAAAATCTTCTATTACTACAAATATACACAAACGAATTGTTTATTGTCAAAAACTTTCAAATTGGATATATTTCTCGAAGAAAAAACCTCGGCGGTCACCCATCCGGATATTAACCGCGCTCAAAATTGCTTAACCTCAGTGATCGTGAATCGAAGCGTCCTGCCATCCCAGCTATATACCAGCTTTTTAAAATAAATTTCAATTAACTATTTTTTTGTAAAGAAAGAACAAATAGTTAATTTAAAAACCAAAT